CATTCTGGTAGGTTTCCATGGGCTAAATGGGTCAGAGGTAAATAGTTATGTATGCCCAATCTTGGAACAATAGGGCTCTGTGATACAGGGTTCGAGGCACAGCTTGAATGGGTAAAAGATGGGAACAAGCAAGTAGTTCATCAGAGAACCATCAAGGCAAACAATCAAGTCCTGTCAGGACAAACCTCCTTTCAAGACTGAAACTCAAAGGGAACACACAAGCAGGCATGTAAGTTTGCTGGCGATTACATTGTTCTACTTGTGAGTAGAAATGGGGGAAAGGCAGCAATGAAGATAGGGGCTGAGTCTGACCACAGTCCACAGACTCCTGTCAACCTTGAGATGAGAGAGAGAAGAGAAAGGGTTGGTTGGTCCAAAGTGTACTGAGACTTGGGGACCCCTGAGCCCATGATCTAGCCACTGAGGGCTATAACTGAGAGTGAGGTGTCCAGCTGATATGAAGGGAAGATGCACAAACTTGCTGATAGTACCCATTTGACCTGGCTTCAATGGCATGATGATCAGAAGTAGACTAGAGGAAGATGAAGAAATTGGATAAAGGAAACAAGTCTGAATTGCTACAATTTGATGAACTTGACTTATACTTATGGATGCAGTAGCTCAAAATACCAAGAGGGAAGGAGTCTTCATATCAAGGATCAAACCTATCCCCTCTGCATGCAGGGTTGATAGGGTTGAGCAACTTAAGTCATTGACTACCTAAAATGAGGGGTGGTGTGGGGGGCTATAAAGGCACGAAGTGACTAGATTATAGGTTTTCAAGAGGGAGTTTAGTTTTAGAGTATGTGGGGGAAGGTAATACTCCCACGGAATTTTTTCCCTCTCGTCTAGATGAGTCTGGTGAAAGGAGATGGGGAGAGGATTCATTGATTCAATAGTGTGTAGTTATTATCATACCTAATTGCGATGGTCACAATTGTAAAGGTAGAAGATGTGTAATAAAAAGGGGAGAGTAGTTAATCTTACATTTCAGGAACCATCAAGAGAGAAGAGCATGAGCGGAATGTGGGACCCTATCCAGAGAAGGAGGTAGGGATGAGGACATGGAGAGAGGGAGAAGCTGAGGACTCTAGAGTCTTGGAAAAAGAAAGGCTGTGTGCTGGCAGCCAGGAGACTGACTTCCAGAATGTGCCCCTTGGTTATTTAAATGATTATATATCCCTGCGTGGTAACAACAACAACAAAAATGTATGCAAACAAAAATATACAAGGGGGTTTCAAAATGTTTATGGAAAAAATGGAATTAAAAGATAATGGGAACCTTTTTACGAAGATGGCGCCAAAGGCCAAGAAGGAAGCCCCTTCCCCTCCCAAAGCTGAAGCCAAAGCAAAGGTGTTGAAGGCCAAGAAGGCAGTGCTGAAAAGCGTCCACAGCCACAAAAAAAAGAAATCCGCACGTCACCCACCTTCCGGCGGCCCGAGACTCTGAGGCTCTGGAGGCAGCCCAAATATCCTCGGAAGAGCACCCCCAGGAGAAACAAGCTTGACCACTATGCCATCGTCAAGTTCCCTCTGACTACTGAGTCAGCCATGAAGAAGATTGAAGATAATAACACACTTGTGTGCATTGTGGATGTCAAGGCCAACAAGCACCAGATCAAACAGGCTGTGAAGAAGCTCTATGACACTGACGTAGCCAAGGTCAACACCTTAATCAGGACCAATGGAGAAAAGAAGGCATATGTTCGACTGGCTCCTGACTATGATGCTTTGGATGTTGCCAACAAAATTGGGATCAACTAAACGGAGTTCAGCTGGCTAATTCTAAATATAAATTTTTTCAATAATAATAATAAAAAAAAGATAATGGGAAGAGTCTGAGGCAAGATGACATAGTATGCAGACCCACTGAGCCAACACTCTGTAACCAAGATCTGGGAGGCTGATTGGAACAGACATAGATGGTGATCCTGGAACCCTGAGCCTCAGAGGGTAGGACAGTGAGGAGGACTGAGTGTCAACTGGAAGAGAAAACTGAACAGGAGAAGCGAGAGAACAAAAATGGGCAGGCTGTGGGCTGGCGTGGAGTGGCACAGCCATCTTGAGCTCTCTGTGAACAGCTTATGATATAGCAGCTGGAGGCTAGTGAAAAGGGGTGCAGTTTTTCCTTGTTCCCGTGCCCTCCTGGAAGCCACGGGGTAGTTAGTCCTCTCCCTCACCACCCCAGCAGCCAGTGGTACAGCCTCTGCTCTGCCCGGGGTACAGCTTCTGGATGTGCATGAACCTGCCCTGTACTACACTACACAAACAGTGAATAGCGAACTAATGGTGTTCCTATTTCTGGTCTCTACCACATCCACTAGGAGAAAGGTGGTAAGCGCCTGAGAATAAACCAATCATGAACTAAATATATATAGGACACCACAATGCCCTGGAGAAAATGGAATTTTACCTTAGACAAAGAAATAAGACAGTGCCTCAAACAAGTAAATAAAATATAAAGTCAGAAAACACAACACCAATCAGAAAGATATCATATGAAACACAAAAGAATGCTAATCAGACAACTACAACAGAGTGAAACAAAAGACTGAGAAAACTACAGATGAAATCAAGAGAAACAGACAAAATTATAGGAAACATCAGGAAACAAATTGATAAGATAATTGCAAAAAGGGGAACCATACAAAATGAACAATTAGGAAGTCAGAAGATTAACACTAATGTTTCAGAAAGAGGTAATACACTGAAAGAGTACAGAAACAAAATTGAATTAATGGAAAGCTGAATTGCTGAGCTTGAAGAAAAATCTCTAACAATTATCTACTAGAAGAAGAATCAGAAAAAAGAACAAGAATATCTGAAAACTGCCTCAGATTTATGTGGAACACTATCAAGAGGTATAATTTACACGTGACAGGAATTCTAAAACAGGGAGAGACAAAAAAACCCCAACCCTATAGAGAACACTGCCTTAGAATTGTTAGAAGAAAACATCCTGAACGTGAAAGGTGGCAAGACAGTCATTCAATAAGTTGAATGAACTTCAAATAGAATAGACCCCAAAAGAAAATCACCGAGACATATTATAATCTAACTTTTCAAAATCAAAGACTCCAAAGAGCATCTCAGGAAAAATGAAGTTACCTACCAAGGAGAACTAATACGACTAAGTGTAAGTTCTGATTTCTCAGAAGAAACTAGGCAAACAAGAAGACAATGGTATATATATATATATATAAAACTCCGAAAGAGAAAAAAAAGTGCCAACCAAGAACCTAACAAAATTGTCCATCAAATATGACGGTGAAACTAGGTAATTTTCAGACAAGCAGAAATGAAAAGAATTTGTGAAAACCAGACACACGTTACAAAAGATACTAAATAGAGTTCTTTGGACAGAGAACCAACAACAGTGGACAACAACTTGCCACTATGACAGTATCATCTCGACGTAACGCAGATACGGAAGTATGCAAAGTAAAATAGACCTGTAAGACTGAAAAGAAGAGAACCAGAGATACAGTTGCAACAACAACAACCATAAATTAAAAAGAGGGAATAATCCAGTTACAGAACTTCTAAATAAAGAGGAAATGAAATCGATTTCAATAAGTAAATAAAAATACACCTAACTATAACTCTTAAAAACTAGACCAAGCCTTACCCCTAACATTGACCCAAGTTTCAACCTAACCCTAACAATAAACGAAGTTCTAAGCCTACCAAAGACTTAGCCCTATTCCCAACCCTAACCCTCACTCCTTACTTGTACTCACCCTCCAAACAAAAAGATAATGGAATTTTCCCACTAACTTTTGAAACCCCGTTTTACAGGGTGAGGTCTGGGAAGGATCCTAGTGCAATATTTCCACGTACCTCTCCCAGGCAAGGTCACCAACCAGGATGTTTCATCTGAGCCTCAGGGTTCAGGGCTCTTATTGACCTCCCCATGTGGCCGTGATAGATTGCATCATGCCTTCTGAAGCTTAGGCAGCATCAGGCTCCCAGGTGGTCCCTATTGGTCTGGTCAGCTCTACTCCTTAGTTTCAGGTGTTAGACCAGCTTGATCGAACCAAGAACAAAAAAGACCAAATTGCTTTCTGCACGGTGATTCCACATCTCACACCAGGATAAGGAATGTAGATCTAAGTATGGATCACAGACAGTCATGAGAGGATTCTGAGAAACTGTCCTAAAATCAGAATGCTGAGGATTCTGAGTCAGTCTTCTAAAACACTGACTCAGCCCAGAGAAACAAGGAAGACAGCAGAGAGAGAGAAAGAGAGGAAGTAGTTGGAAAAGATTTTCAGGGACCTGAGAGGTCAGGAGCACTGAAAACGGAGGAAGTGGCAGAGGTGACCAATCCTGCCAGAGTCTGTACCCCCTCTCTCTCCCACGCCATCCTTAACATTAGTGTGAACGCCATCACCACTAACTGATTTCAAATGGCTCTCTAAATCCTTCTGATGGGCTGCACTTTTCTGATTCATCCTTAAAACCACAGGTCCAATCTTACTAGATCACTATTGAAAAACAAAAAGGAAAACCCCACAGACTTAGTGGGTCCTCACTTCTTTACTGAAATAAGTACAGCCTCTTACATTTGGCATTGAAGACCATTTATGAAATGGTTTCACCCCACCTTTCCAGCTGTGCTAGCCCAATCATATGTATCCAACAAATACTGATTGACAGCCCAATTTATATAAGCCAGATTCCTGCCCTCACAAAGCCTTCCCACAGTTCAGTCTAGTAGAACTAGATTAGTCATAGTTCCCTGAACATAGGGCCATAGCTTGGTCCCTCTCCCCCAGCAGCCTTCTTGATCCAACTTAGAACCTCCAAGTACTTAGTTTTACTTCTTTTTTACGGCCTTTTACTCCAGTTTGCACAGTCCTACTGTCTGTGGTCTTCCTATTTGTCCAGCTGCAGTCTGGTACTGTATTGTAATCATGTTCATTCAGGACCACAGAAGGAAGAACCAGAAATTGTCAGCCCAAGGGTTTTCTGATTTCTCACTGTTTAAAAAGTGATACCTGAGTTTGCTTTGTGGTTTCAGCGCCCGGGCGGAAGAGCTCAGCAGTCTTGCATTCCCAAAGCCCAGCGAAGAGGGTCTGCTCAGTGATTCAAGTGAAGGACTCTTCCGGAGGTAAGAGTCTGGTTTCAGGTCCTCAGCCCTTCCTTTTAGAAGATCTGTGTGAACAACAACAGAATCACCCATTCCTGAAGAAAATAAATTTTACTGGTCATGACATTTTATTCTCAGGCACAAGCTAATAGTGTATCAGACTTGGAAAATGCTGTTCTTTATAGTTTCTGGGTTTTAGAAAATGAAAATAGGGACCTAGAGTTTTTCAGGATTCTCCAGGCAAGACTGATTACACAATTGATAAGCACTGGATTACTAACTGAAAAGTTGGTGGTTCAAATGACCAGCTTTGAAACCCCTATACAGGGTTGCTATGAGTTGGAACCAACATAGTGACACTTAACAGCAACCACATCAACACTATTCAATGAAAGGAACCCTGGTGGCACCACGATCAAGAACTTGGCTGCTAACCAAAAGGTCGGTGGTTCAAACTCACCAGCTGCTCTGCAGGATAAAGAGGTAGCACTCTGCTTCCATAAAAGATTTATAGCCTTGGGAACCTCATGGGGCAGTTCTTACTCTACGGTGTAAGGAAGAGTTGGAATGAACTAGATGGCAATTGGTTTGGGTTAGTGTCCAATGACAACACAGTGGCAGTTCAGTGGTGATACTCTCATCTGCCCTGCTGGAGACCTGGTCTTGACCCCTGGTCAATGTACATCATTCTCAGTCATCACCTGTCTAATCGGAGGAGGCTTACATGTTGCTGTGATGCTGATCGGGTTTCAGTGGAACTTCCAGATTAAGACAGACTAGGAAGAAAAGCTTGGTGAGCTACTTTTGAAAATCATCCAGTGAAAACCTGATGGCTCACAATGGTCTGATCCACCATGGATCACAGGCATGGCTCACAACTGTGCAACATTCCATTCTGTTGTGCTGGGGTTGCCATGAGTTGGGGGCCACTTTAGTGGTAGTTAAAAATAACAATGAAGAAGAATTGATGCCTGTGACTTATGTTGGAAAAACTTAGTAAATATACTACGAACTATACCAGAATGAACAAATACGTCTTGGAAGAAACACAGCCAGAATGTTCCTTAGAAAATAAGATGGTCAAACTTTGTGTCTCGTGTACTTTTTATACCTTTGTCATTAAAACACATGAAGGACTAAACAATGAGAATTATCAGACACGAATTGTCTTATTATTAACCCTCATACTTGACCATGCAATTCCCTTTATCAGGGTTCTTTCCTTTTCTGCATGGTTTTGAATGATTTTCTAGTGTCTTTTCCCTTCCATGTACAGAATTCCTATGAGTACTTTCTGTAGGGTTGGTGTGGTGGATAGGAACTCTCTGTCCCCCTATTTCTTGAAGGGTAGCTTTACTGGACATGGTAGCTTTGGTTGACTTTCTTTTTCCTTTTCTCTCAACATTTTAGAAATGTCATTTTATTGCCTTCTGACCATCAACATTTCTGAGGAGAAATCAGCATTTATTCTTTCTTTTTTTTAATGTGGAGGGATTTTATTAGGGTAAATGACTATTGTTGTTGTTGTTGTCAGGTGCCATCGAGTCGGAACCGACTCATAGCGACCCCATGCACAGCAGAACGAAACAATGTCCGATCCTGGGCCAACCTCACTACCGCTGCCACACTTGAGTCCATCAATGATGCCACCTGGCTGATCCATCTCGTTGGGGGTCTTCCTCTTCTTCTCTGACCCTCAAATAAGGAAGTGGAGTCCTGGTGTGGTGCTGTGGAGTAAAGCATTAGATCACAAGGCCAGTTTGAATCACAAAGTTAGCAGTTCAAACTCACCAGCTGCTCCTTGGAAACCTCACACAGGGTTGCTATGAGTTGGAACTGACTTAACGACAGTTAACAACAACAACAGGACAAGGCTGAGAAAGATATCAAATTGGGCGATGCAAATCTGTCCCTCACGAAGAAATAAAACAGAGAAGGTTAGGAGAAGCTTCCTAGACTGCCCTGCAATCTAAATAAAATTCAGCACAGTCCTGTGTTTTGTGGAAGTCCTTGATCCAAAGTCTAGAGGACAAGAGAGTCCCTTGGCTTATCTGTTGTTCCTAGGAGGTATGGCCTCAGCCTGGCCACAAATTCAGCCATGAATTTTGAGCAGTAGCTTGGAAGTACGGTTCATTACAACTGTGCCTAATGAAAAGGAGCATGCATCTGGTGACTAACAAAATCTTAAGCGCAGAAATTCAGCATTTATTCTTATTGGGCATACTTTGTATGTGACTGCTTGCTTCTCTTTCACTGCTTTCAGGATTCTCTCCTTATAACTTTTTGAAAGCCTATTGTTTGTCTCAGAGTAGAACTCTTGGTTCTTTCTGCTTGGAATTCTTTGAACTTCTTGGATTTGCAGAATCCTGTCTTTTGTCAGAATGGTGAAAATTCCTGTCATTATTCTGTCAAATATTTTTTTTATTTCCCTTTATCTCTGTCATCGTCTTCTGAAATTCCCATGATGTGTATATTAGGTCTTTCTATTAAACTTTGCACATTCTTTTTGAGTTTTCATTCTTGTTGTTTTCCAGTCTCTCTAATTGCAACTATCTTACCCTCTCATTTTTTTCTTCTGCCTAATTAAATCTGTTGGTAACTCCTTCCACTGTGTTTCTCATTTCAGTCATTGACCCTTTCAGCTGCTATCTCTGGTTATTACTGTCTTTCCTTCTTCGTTTTGCAGTCACAGTTTCAGTGAAAAATGCACACCCAGTCAGCGCCCTTTGAGGCTGCTTGCTCCAGATTTGCCTGAGGCTTCCTTCCCTACTCTGATCTGACATTCAAGGAAAGCACAGGCATACTTTCCTCCATTTCAGAAGGACTTCTGAGGGATCTGCCTTTTTGGTTTCCAAGTCTCAGTGGCCCTGTGGTGGTTAGGGGAGCAGTCTTCACAACCACCTCCTGGCTGACCTGTAGATGTCCTTCTGTGGGAGTTTGTATCAGTCTAGCAGGTGACAGTTACCTGGCTGGGAGAAAGCTGTTGTGCTCCAAATGGCCCCCAGGGAGCTGCTTTATTACCATCAGAGTCTCCCCAAATGGCCCCCATGGAGCTTTGCCTTATTACCATCAGAGTCTCCCCAAGTGGCCACCAGGGAGCTCTGCCTTATTACCATCAGAGTCTCCCCAAATGGCTCCCAGGGAGCGCTGCCTTATTACCATCAGAGTCTCCCGGGGGGCTGCTGAGCCTCCACTCAAGGTGCCTGATTGACAGGACAAAGCTGCCTCAATCAGTAGTCCTCAGTGCAGACCAGATGTGGGGAGAGACAGACCTGAACTGACCCTCTGGGAGATCTGTCCTGTTGGTTTGGGGGGCCTGAGCTATGGGGGTGTTCAGGGAAGCAGGCTGATGATGGCAAGGACTCAACTGCAGAGCACCTTCTTTATCAATTGGAAGCCTTACAGTCCATCAGACGTGTGTGGGATAGGGGCTGTCATGCTTTGAATGAATCCCAGGGAATGAGCGCCTTGTTGCTATCAGAACGCCCCCTCCCCTACCCCCCAGTAGTATGTTGAGCGTGGTCCATAGTATCCGCCACTAAAGATACCTGCTTTCTCGTGCACAGCAGCCCTACTTAGCAGTCCTCAGTGCTCACTGGATGCGGGAAGTGTGGAGGGGGCATAGAGACCCAAGCTGACTCCCAGGGTACAGACGCCAGAGGGATGGAGTGCTCGGTGTGGGCGCAGACTCCACTCCAGGAGTCGTCTCTGGCAATTTTTGCTGACTCACAGCAGACAGTGTCTGGGTGGGAGAGGTGCTGGCACAATCCAAACAGACTTCTGGGGTGGTCAGCCTTGTCCATTTCCCAGAAGAAGCTTGGAGTCCCATTTCTTTGTACCGGAAGAGGGTATGGTGGATAGGGAAGCAGGCTCTTCTGCTGGGACTGGCTGAGGGCTGGGGCAGGGATGGTGGTTGAGGTGATTTTCCTACTGTATGTAATCTGTTAAATCTTGCCTGTCTGTAGTTCCCTGCAGCTGTCCTCCATTCCCCACTTCAGAGACTCTCAAAATCAAGCATTTTTTTCTTGTATTTATGGGGGGATGGTCAGAACAATGGTCTGTTTATGCCGCTATTTCCCCAGGATCTCCATTTTAACCATTTTTAAGTGTACAATGCAGTGATATTAGTTATATAAAAAGGATAACTACAAGAGAAATAGCCATGCCAATCACCTGTCCTGGGCCTTTAAAACTTAATTTAAAAAACAATTATTTTACGGCTATTCTCTGCTGTAATACAAGTTTGAGTTAAAACTGGTCATGGAAGTCATTAAAACCAAACTAACTGCTGTTGAGTGGTTCTAACGCAAAGTTATCCTGTAGGATGGAGCGGCACTGTCCCATAGGATTTCTAATGTTGTCATCTTTATGGGACCCAACTGCAAGGTTGATCTGAATTGCAAAGTCGGAGGTTCAAACTCACCAGCTACTCCTCAGAGACCCTATACAGAGTTGCTATGAGTCGGAATTGACTCAATGGCACTTAACAACAACAACAACAACCTTTATGGTAGTAGGTTGCTCATGGAGTGCTCGGTAGGTTTGAACTGCTGAACTTTCTGTTAGCAGCAAAGTGCTTTAGCCACTGTGCCACCAGGTTTCCTACAGAAGCCACTGTTGTTAAGTGCTGTTGAGTCCGTTCTGATTCATCACAACCCTGTATAGGATTTCCAGTGAGCGGATGGTGGGTTTGAATCATCAATCTTGTGATTGACTCCACAAAAACAAGAGGCAGCATCTAACTAAAAGTAAAAATACCAATCAGTGTGCAGCTGCCGTTTAAGAAAAAACCACAGTGGAAAAGCACATATAACATGAAGAATAATACTTTTTAACCTTTTGGACTTAAATAATACTACATTTCATTTTTTTAAAAAGTTCCATCACATGGTTTTTGTATTACCATTTAAAAATATTAGAAAAAGTCTTTGAAATATCATATATATTTCAATATTGTTGCTGTTAAGTGCCATTGAGTTGGTTTTGACTCATAGTGACCCTGTATAGGGTTTCCAAGGAGCAGCTGGTGAGCTTGGGGTTCAAACCAACTTTGTGGTCCAGCTCA